TTTTGCTTTTTCCCGGAAGTCTGAGCCTTTTGCTTTTTCCCGGCCCGGGAAAAAGCAAATTGGAACTCTGAGCCTTTTGCTCTTTCCCGGCCCGGGAAAAAGCAAATTGGAAGTCTGAACCATTTTGCTTTTTCCGGCCCGGAACAAAGCAAATTGGAAGTCTGAACCATTTTGCTTTTTCCCGGCCCGGGAAAAAGCAAATTGGAAGTAAGTCTGAACCATTTTGCTTTTTCCCGGCCCGGGAAAAAGCAAATTGGAAGTCTGAGCCTTTTGCTTTTTCCCGGCCCGGGAAAAAGCAAATTGGAAGTCTGAGCTTTTTGCTTTTTGCAGGCCCGGGAAAAAGCAAATTGGAAGTCTGAACCATTTTGCTTTTTGCCGGCCCGGGAAAAAGCAAATTGGAAGTCTAATACATTTCCAATTGCTTTTTCCCGACCCTTGGAAAATTCTTTGTCGTGGGAAACTGCGCAAGTATGGCGAAAGGTTCGCATTGTGGACGCGAAAGACGACAGGGCCAAACCCCACCCCACTCCACTCTTCCTGCTGGAAGCACGCGCTGGACACTCCAGCTGCAGATGCACTCATAGCATGCCCACAAGTGCAGGTATGTGAGGTGAGGTGGTGTGTTCTACGGCTGTAAGTGCGCATACAACACGGTCGTAACTCCCGGGAAAAAGCAAGTTGGAAGTTTGAGCCGGAAAAGCAAATTGGACATCCAATTTTCTTTTGTAAAGCCTGGAAAAAAACATCTTTTTCAGAGAGCTGTAGCCTAGAGGATAAGGCGCCAGGCTCATAAGCAGAAGGTCATGGGCTCAAGTCCCAGAGGCGCTGCTTGTTTCCAGGCCGGATTCCAAACTGCAAGTCTGATACATTTTGCTTTTTCCGGGGCCGGGAAAAAGCAAATTGGAAGTCTGAACCATTTTGCTTTTTCCCGGCCCGGGAAAAAGCAAAATGGCCCGGGAAAAAGCAAAATGGAAGTCTGAACCATTTTGCTTCTTCCCGGCTTGGAAAAAGCAAATTGGAAGTCTGAACCATTTTGCTTTTTCCCGGGCCGGGAAAAAGCAAATTGGAAGTCTGGCCGTTTTGCTTTTTCCCGGCCCGGGAAAAAGCAAATCGGAAGTCTGAACCATTTTGCTTTTTCCCGGGTTGGGAAAAAGCAAATTGGAAGTCTGAACCATTTTGCTTTTTCCCGGGTTGGGAAAAAGCAAATTCGAAGTCTGAACCATTTTGCTTTTTCCCGGCCCCGGAAAAAGCAAATTCGAAGTCTGAACCATTTTGCTTTTTCCCGGCCCGGGAAAAAGCAAATTGGAAGTCTGAGCAAACTGGCCTGACTGAGCCGTCTCTTGTTCATGGAGGGTTGTGCCCAACCAAAAACACACCAACATGAAAACTGCTTGGTTGGCTGGCTTCCTGTTCCTCAGCAATCAATGTGTCAGTGATCAGAGGACACAAGACGTGCCAGGGCAACTGCATGAATCCTTGAAAGCCTCTAGCCCCAACGAAAAACCATTCTCGCCGACAGTGGTAAAACCCCACGCGCGAAAGCTTGCGAAAGCTTCGCGAAGGTCCTGCGAAAGGCCTGGAAAAAATGAAAGGACTTTTGAACAACCCCCATGTAATGTATTATATACGACGTATACTATTGAAATGCACCAGCACCCATCAAATCCATTTTTCGCAACATCTAGGTGCACACGGACTCGCCTTCGGCACATAACAAAATCAAGAGACACACCATGGTGAGGTGCGCGTCTGACAAACTGCAGACGTCTCACCGACCGGCGACGCCTCACCGAAAAAAAGGGCGAAGACCTTGAAATTGAGGCTGCAAGGAGCTGATTGTTAACCACTCCTAATTGGTTATGTTGGGAAAGCAATAGCTGAAGCTTTATAAATTAGTCTAAAAACCCAAGAGCTCTTTTTCACATCACGAATTAAAAGGGATTGGGACATTTCTTCTCTCAGCTGCCCTGAAACCATTGAAAATTCATGTCAGGTTTGCTTCTTGACAAAACGTCCCGCAACAGAACTTTGGCACACCTCTTGAAGAGGGAGGGAGGGTATGTTTATGTCTATTGCTCATCACCATCCACTAACCAATCATCATCATCCACTGAGTCTAGGGGACGATTGTGTGTATGAGTAGTTATGTACTTCTCCAGGGTTATCCAAGTTAGAGCGGTTTGGCACCTCGCACGATTTAGGAAACATGGGGCAAATGGGTGAGACTTCGCACAAAGAAGATTTTAGACTCCTTGGCAAGCCCCCATTAACATGTTCGATGAATGAACACCTTTTTGAATGTCTGGGATTGTTATAATTCACCCATTATATAACTAGACGCTTGGCCTCTCAGAACAGGGATTTGAGACCACGGACCCGTGTCCGATCCCTCCATATGAGGGTCCATGAGCGTTTGGGCTTAGTATGTGGTATGTGAGTATGTGTAATAGATAATTTTACAAAGCTTTATAATTAACACACACACATATATAATATAATGTTTGTGTGTGTGGGTTCCAAAACCGTCCTCGGCCAGCAGGACGAGCGAAGGATGGAAGATGATCTGAGAGCGGCCCAAGCACCGATGATGGAGGGAAGCACTCTTTCAAACTGTTTAAGAAGATCATCATTGATTAAACTAAATTTGTTCGTGGAGAGAGTTCTGGATGGAAAGAAATATTCTAAAAATCGATCCTTTCAGAACTCGGTCGCGCATTGCCACTTCTCCTGGCTGTGATGAACACATGTGTACACGAACGGTTCCACGGTAGCATCACATAGAACTGTGGTCAGACTGAATCAGTGACCTGACCACGCGGCCGGTCTCGGTCTGCCTGGGCTAAATAGCCCGGCCTAAATCGCCGACAGCCGTGCTAGGGTG